CTTGATCTCAACCGTTAGATCAATCTAGATCTACGGTCTGGATCTGAGGGCTTAAGTGGAACGGTGTCGTTTGGCTTAGTAGGGGTCAAGGTTGGTTCGGGTGGAACGGGTCGGGTTCATTAGTGGGTTATGGGGTGTGAGATCTTGACCGTTGATCAATCTGAGATCAACGGTCCAGATCATACTGGATTTAAACGGTGTCGTTTAGATGGCTAGGGGTAGGCTGGTCACGGACCGGGCAAGCCTGGTTTTTGGGCTGAGTTTGTTTGGGCCAATTTGTTTAAAATTGGCCCAAGTCCGAAAAAGATTTTTTTTATTATTATTTTATTTTCTTCTTTATTTTAAAAACAAAACCTAAGTAATTCAAATTAAAATTACTTAATACAATTATTTGCACACATATTAAAATATTTTAAAACAGGTAAAATCAAACAAAAACAAAATCACGGACAAAGATGCCTATTTATGATTTTCTATTTAACAACCGGATTACGGTTCAAATTATGCATGACACATACATTTTTTTTGTATTTTGTTTTAATAAAATAAAATGGGCAAAAATCATAAATAATTAACAAAGTGCCATGTAAAAATCCAAAAATTGTACAGCATGACCAATTGTTATTATTTTTTTATTTCTTTTGGAGCGATTGTCGCGCGAAACAAAAATCACGTGCTCACAGAGTTAAATTAGGAGACTAATTAATACCATTAAAACTCCTAAAATATACATAAATGGTAATTAGGTATATAAAAGGTAATTATATTAAAAGTGAAGCATGGAGGGTAATATAGTTTACTATATGACATATGAATGTAAAAATCCCAAAAATGGTAGGTGCAATGAGTCATGATCACCATATATAAAAAATAACATCTCTATCTGGTTATTAATTAAGGATTACTAACAATATTGAATTAATTATGCCTTAATAGAAGATTTTTATGCAATGTTTCATTATGTATCAATGAATAAAGAAAAAACAAATGTTACAATAAGATTGTAATTTTCGCTCTTTATTGAGAAAAAATTAATATAATAACTTTAAATTCTTAGTTTTGTTTTCCTATTTCTAACTAAAATAACTACCACTACTTCTTGAACCTAACACAATGAGAGTCCAAAAAGAAATAAAAATTGTAATCCCACTCAATATACACACCATATCTAATCTTTTTTCTCTCCTTTGTTTCCTTTCCCTCCATAATTTCCTTAATTCCAAGAATTTCTCATACCTTTCTTTTTCTTCTCCTTCTTTTCTCTTCTTCCTTCCTCCTTCCATAGCCTCTTGTAAAATTACCAAACTATCCTTCCCACATAAAACTTTCCCATCCATGTCCTCCATTTGCATGCTCACTTCCCTCACGTGCAATTCACCTCCTTCCTTCCCTTCGCACGTGACTACTATTCCGCACTGCACCAACCCTCCTCCGTCGCCGGCGTCGGCGCCAGAAGCCATCACCGTCGAATACCGGACCTTCAATTCTCCGGTTAACCAATGTCGCCGGACGGATACCGGCTTCAAACTCGACATATTCACAGCTCGATTTTTCTTTGGATCAATTAAAATCCAGCTCAATTTCATATTCTCCTTTAAACGTGATTTGCATATTCCGTCATCGCCGTCGAATTTCACCGGCGTCGTTACCGTCTCTTTATGACCCAAAAGGTCAACTCTAAACGGCGAAGTCATGAACCACCCGCTTTTCGTCTCAGTTTTCACTACTTTTGAGTATAATAAATTTTCCTCAAAGTGAATATCAACAGCTGATATCAACTCCGATGTTAAGAAATTTCGGTATTCGGTACGACATATATTAGTATTATTATGGTGGAGGATGGCGGGAAAGGAGTCGGAGAAGAATGACCGGTGACCGGAAGGGAAGGTGGAGATGGCGTTTTGGACTAGAGGATTAGAGGAAGATGGCCAATAAGAGTTGCAAATTTTTTGCCAGAGAATATCATCGGAACAGAGATTTTTAAGTTGTGAAGAAGCGGAACTGGTGGAAATAAGAGTTGGGCCGTCGAGTTTGGTTAAGATTAGGATTTGTATGATGTCGGGATGGACGGCGGTGATCGCCGTCCTTCCGCCGTCGTCAGACGTGGTGGTGGTGGTGGAACAAGATGACATGAGAATATGTTAACTAACTGTATAATATAATATTTTTTGGTGTAGTGAAAAATAATGCAAGATTTTGGAGTTTGAATGGAGGTTTTATATAGGGGTTATGGCAAGGGTTTAATCGTACGTGTATTTAATAAAAGAAGAAAAAAGAAAATGAGTAGTCAAAACCGGCATCTTAAAGGTCTTTATCCATTTATTTCCCACAAAAGTATTATAAATATCTACGTGTGAACTATTTGGCATATGGAAATTATTAAAAATATTTTAAACGCGCAATAATTATCCAACAGCCAACAATGTGCAAGAATAATCATTTTGTCTTTTCTATAAAATCTGAATTTCTCTGTAAAGGATCTTCTAATTTTGTTAGATTCTTAAAAAACAATGGGGTAAATGTTGCTTCAAAATTATTACTATTATTATTACTACTATTTACTAGAACTATAACTGTAGGCTATTTCTTTGGATTAGTAGTTGGTATTTGAAGTCCATTTAATTGGCTGACACAGCCGAATTTGTGCTAAGTTGGCTCGCTAAGCGGTAATGAAAAATTCTTTATTTTCTAGTCTCAAAATTGAAATAGTAGCAAACAAAAACTTAATTAGGTTTATAATTAAAAGTAACACTTATATTTGAAAGGAAGAAGTGTATTATATATTATTGTTGGATAAATATGAGGAATTTCATAAAGCACTACAATTTAATGGCTAATTATTATACATAACTATAGTATGCCTAATTACTATACATTCGTACCTACTGTTCAATTGTTACCAGCTTGTATTAAGACGTTCAACGAATATAGTATGTGTACGCAATGAATGCAACCAAAGCGAAATATCAGGATGTGTATATTCGTTCGCGCTACATGAGTGTGTATATTCATTCGCACAATAAATATAACCAAGGCAAAATACAAAAATATAAAAAAAATAGAATGATGTCGAGTCAAATTGAACTACCTATTCCGGCCGGGGAGAACATGCCATTCAACAGGGAGATTCTGAAATTGCAGAGGCTTGGTTCGATCAAGCCGTTGAGTATTGGAAATAGGCTATAGCGCTTACTCCCGATAATTATATTGAAGCGCATAATTGGTTGAAGATCACGAGACTTTTCGAATAAAAGAAGATCCCGTTTATTTATTATCCTTTATTTAGAATCTTAGTCTATTATTTTTGATTTTTCTATTTAGAATTTAGATATTTGTTATAATTTATTGTGACTTAAGCGGATGCTCTAACCAACTAAGCTATAATAGCTTGTTGCTCTTTTCTTTAAGTTCAAAACAATTGATGTCTTGTTTCAATATTAAATATGAATGTGCTATAACATTAAAATATATTATAACTACTAATGGTAATTTTCTGAAAGTATAACTGCGAATAATAAATATAATATATATTTGTTGTGTCGAAATATCTGGGAGCAAACATAATACTTTTCCAATGACCCAACTCATCCCTTTTTTAGGGTATCCTTTCATCAATGAGAAGATCAAATTGTTTGCACGAAGGGCCACTTACAACAAGTTGAGGACGGCTTTTTGGTCCACAAAAGCTTTTTGAATATTCAAGTCAAGCTGAAGATTGGATTTTAGAACAATTTGAGAATCATATCTCTCTAAATATGTAATTGACTTCTACATTTTTGAAAATTTTACAGCAATTTGTATTTTTTTATCAATATAAAAAACGTTTACGTCACCAAATTATTTAAATGCCGAATACAAGTAGTTATTTCTAGTGAGCTTCAATCACTAACATAAATAAAAGAGATACAAAATCTATTGGAAACGATCAAAGTACACTAAGAATGTAAAAGTATTTAAGTTATCATTTACTCATACCCTAACTTATTTGTGTACTGAAGCTTTGTTATTCAGAGAAGGAACCAGGATTTAATCTTATAAGTTCTGAATTTCAAAACACGATTTCAGGTATTAATAATCGGATTTTAAATTTAATATTTATACGTATCTAATAAAGTCTAAACATCAAATACACTTGAGCAAAATTTATTGAGTTCGATCAAACTCGTAGGTCGAGTTATGTCTCCGCCCTTGCTGTTATTGTATCATCTCATATTAACTAAAATATTAGAAAGGGATGTTTGTGTAAAATCTACTTAATTCCTAGATATTTATTCGACAATTTGCTAATTTCTTTGGAAAAAAAAATGAGGAAATCACTTAGAAGCCGCAAATGCTGTCCTTATCAAATTAGTTAGATACAAATTGCAAAATTAGAAGGAAAAAAGTGGAGTAGTAAGGGAGCTGAATTCTAGAAAGCTATGAGGAGTCAAATATGGGGGCAGCATATATATATATATATATATATATATATATATATGGGGGCAGCTAAATCTTACATAAGCTTTTATAATGTCAATCTCTTAACTGACCTTATCTATATCATGCAATTCAAAATGGTACACGTATAAAGATGGCTAGCAATCTTGTCACAAAAAGTTCCACATGTTATTTTAGAATTCTATAATTAATTGTCTAGACAAAATGTTGACACAAATAGATTTAAGATTCTGACTATTAAGTGATCAAATAACTTACATATATTAAATGTGTGAAAATACTAAAACAAATTAAGCAGAAAATAAAAATAATTTCGATAATTAGTTTAAGTTACGTTAAATGTATGAACCTAACATATTATTGTAGGGTACAACTGAATATTCTAGTAAGAAATTCAAAAATAGCCAGATTTACAACTGGTCGTTCAAAAATAGCTCAGTTTTAAAGTAATCGAAATTTAGCCACTTTTCATGTAAAGATAAATTTGAGCGAAAATACTGTTCAAAACCCGAAAAATACGCCAGTATATTATACTGGAGTTCCAGCATAAGTATGCTTGAACTCCAGCATATTATACTGGAGTTCCAGGATAAGTATGCTGGAACTCCAGCATAATATGATAGAGTTCCAGCATAAGTACACTAGAACTCCAGCATATATAATATACTGGAGTTCAGCAAGTATAATTGTCTAGTATAATATACTGGAGTTTGGAGCACCGGTGCTCCAGTCTCCAGTATATTATACTAGAGTCAGCAAAGTATACCGGTCCAGCATAATATGCTGGAGTTCATACACAGGTGCACCGAACTCCAGTATATTATGCTGGACCGGTCTCTGTTGCAGCAAAATAGTGGCTATTTTTCATTGACTTCGTAAACGCTGGCTATTTTTGAATGACCAGTTCGAAAACTGGCTATACCGTGCTATTTTTACAATATTCTATTAGAGTTGTTACCGGAGTACTTAATTGGGAGAATTACATCCCTTGTCACATGGCCCAACAACCCATCAGAAAATAGCCCATGTTTGAAGCTCTTACACAGTATAGCCCAAGTTGTACATAATCTGAAAATTAATTTTCACCAGTTAGCCCACCACTTATTTCTTCGTTCCCTTTTTTTCTTCGTTCCTCTTTTTTCTTGGTTCTTCTTCTCATTCCCATGTCAGCCTTTGCACCACAAAATTTCTCTACTATTGTTATTCTCCTTCAATTCTTTTTCAGATTTCAATGGTTAATTAAGGATTTAAAAAATGAAAGTTACCATTACAAGTGGTTCGAAGATTCGATTTCAGAAATTGAGTTTTCCGATTTGTTCGTTGTTTGGAATGAGTGTTGTCTCAATTGACTGGAATCATCACGATGAATTAAAAACTTAAATTTCAAGTGATTTGGAGTAGATTTAGGTTATATTTGAGTTAAATTTTAGAAATTGAGTTTTTCGATTTGTTAGTTGTTTGGAATGGGTGTTGTCTCAATTGATTGGAATCATCAAGATGAGTTCAAAACTTAAATTTCAACTAATTTGGAGTAGCTTTAGGCTATATTTGAGTTAAATTTTAGAGGATGCCCAAGGAAGAAGAACACGTGAAGCTTCATTGATAGGATTCATTTGTATAATAATGTATAATATTATATAAATAGTATATAATAGTGTATAAACATAACTTATACACTATTATATCCAAGGTTGATACATTATTTACAGGTATTTGGTGAATTTCTCGCATTTTCTTCTTCTTCTTCTCATTCTTTTTATACACCTATATACATAGTGTATCAAGAATATTTTCACTCTGTCATTATACATCTTTATACACTTTTATACAACTATATACATATTGTACCTCTTTGTATAAAAGTTATAACATTGTATAAAAGTGTATAAGCATCGCTGACAAAATTTTTGTACGATTTGCACTTGTAATTCTTGTATAAAACTAGTCCAGATCTCCAGCAAATAACTTCAAACATTGTATACAACATACTTAGACTATTTCTAATAAGTTCAAACAATACCCACTCCAAATTGCTCACAAAATATCGAAATTTAACAAGATTAGCATTAAAGTAGATGAGATTTTAGGTTTCTCGCGTTTGTTTTTGCGTTTTGCAGTTGTGATAGGTATGTATAAACCTGAAGATATACAAAAAAATTTAAAAAAACAGAGAAGTATTGGTTATGGAAGAAGGCACGAATGAGTGTTGACTGAATGGGGAACTAATTTTTCTTTTCAGTTTTGTTTGCATATGATTCTTTTTCATTAATTAAATTAAATATTAATGGTGAAAAATGAGGAGAGAGCTACAATAAGGGTAGGTAGGAATAAGTAAGATTGTTATAATTAGAGGGAATGAGAAAAGAAAAGATCTTATTGATATTTGGCTACACATTTGCAAACTTGTAATTGGGCTAAAATAGTGCAAGGTTGTAACGACCCTGTGAGCACCTAATTTTTGACAATATTTAATTTTTTTATCACTTCTTCTATGTAAATATTTTAGGGGGTTTTAACATACAAATTTTTAGCTTTGTTATACTTTTTATTATAGGTTAAAAATACAAAATTTTAGAAGGTGAATTATTACTATTACTATTATTTTATTTTTATTCTTATTTTTAAATAATAATAAAAAATCCGAAAAATATTATTTTTTTTTAAAATTTTCGGGAGAGATTTAAAAAAATAAGAA